TTCCATTAACTTACAATGTTCAAATCATTTAATATGCAATTTAAGCAAGTACTTTAAAATACAAAACTACAACAATTTAAACTATATTACTATAAAAGGTTGAAGCAATTGTAAAGAAGACATCACTACCTTATTAACAATACTTCACTAAACGAAACAAAACTACAAAACCAAGACCTTTTCAAAATGTTCAAATTTGTAAGTACAAACTTGTTTTAAACTATACATATGCAAAATCTATATTGTTTGTTTCCTTTAAACATATATGTAGGTTGTTGTCTTTGCTGCCTGCTTCGCCTATGCTACTGCTGGTGTTGTCCACCCTACTGCTTTAGCTGCTGCTCCCGCTGCTGTTGCTGCCTATGCTAATGCTCCTTTGTATGCTGCTGGTGGCAGTCAACAAATTGATGTTCGTCACAACTACGATGGCACTTTGTCTTCTTACACCACCACCCCCTTCGCTTACACTTCTCCCGTGTCTAGCCGTTATGTAGCTGGTGCTCCCGCTGCCTATGCCGCCCCTGCTTTTACTGCTCCAGCTGCCTTTGCTGCCCCTGCTAAATATGTAGCTCCCGCTGCTTATGCTGCTGCCCCAGCTGCTTTCGCTGCTCCTGCAAAGTATGTTGCCCCCGCTGGTGTTGCTACTCCTTTCGCTGTAGCTTCTCCTTATGCTGCTCCCTATGCTGCTCAATATGCTGCTCAATATGCTGCTCCTTATGCCGCTCACTATGCTGCTGGTTTTGCTACACCTTTCGCCGCTGCTCCCGCTAAAGTGGTTGTTTAAGTACGATTTCTCGAAAATTTGTTAATTTTTTGTTATTCAGTTTTAATGTTAAATAAATGAAATATTTATTGTTGATTTTGTAAATATTAAATTTTATATCAGACTTTAAGAATCCCTAGAAGTTTCTAGATAATAACCTTGACTATAGACAAGTCTCTATAGTCAAGCCTATAGTAGAGACGATAGTCGGGTGTATGCTCCATACAATAGTTCATAATCAAGCCAAAAGTCGAATGTAAAGTCGAGTCAATAGTCCGTTCTACTATAGTCGAGTATATAGTTAAGTCTACGGTGTTGTCTAATATCGAGACTATTATAATAGAGTCTATAGTCGAATAAGTAGTCCAGTTCGATACTATTGTAGAGTTTATAGTCGGATCTATATTCAAATATAGTCTAGTCTATATATGAGTCTGTAATCGAAGCTATAAACGTATTTATAGTCATGTTTATAGTCGAGACTAGATCATACCTTTGATATAATCGATTCAAGTTTAAGTAGAGTTGAGTCTGTAACCGTGACTGTAGTCCTTACTGTAGTCAAGCCTATATGCGAAACTATAATCGAGTCTATAATCAAGATTATGGTTGAGAATAGTCGATGCTTTGGGCGTGACAACAGCTTATATTCGAGACTATAGTCGATACTGTACTGAAGACTATAGTACTGACTGTGTTCAATGGTATTGGTGAGACTATAGTCTAGTGTACAGCCGAGACTATAGTCCAAACTGTAGTAAACCCTATAGTTTATAATCGAGGTTATACTTTAGTCTATAGTCAAAACTATAGTCGAGAATGTAGTCCAGTTTATAATCTACAAGCTTATGTTCGTAAATTATATAGTCGAGACTATAGTCTAAAAAGGAGGACTCTATAGTTCTCTTTCTCTCATTATTTGCCTTATTGAACAAATAAATTAAACCGAAAATTTTATATTAATTTCGATTATTAATTTTATTAAATTATTCAAATTTAACGTATCATTAACAGGTTAACTTGAAAATGTCAATATTGTCAACTTTGAGTCAAAATAAACAAAAATATTAAGTCATTATGAAAAAAAAAAACATTTAAAATAAAATTAATCAATCATATATTCAATAATTAAATCAAACAATTAAAAGTGTTTATGTAGGCGATGATTTATTGAAAACTTTGAACGTCTGTATCAAATTACGATCAGTTGAATGACTAAAAATCAATTCAAATTATTAAATATATAATATATTTAGGGCATATGTATATTGGTAAATGTCATGAATTGGTCAGCGAGGTCAGCATGATTTTAACAGCAGACAAAATGGCTGCAGCAGTGATCACTTGTCATAAGTAGAAAATTTTGATTTCAAGAAAATGGAAAACGACTTTTAAAATGTTAAAAATTTAATAAAATGGCGATCATTTATAGTGTAAAAATATCAAGTTAACCAGCTTTGATAATAACTTTGACTGAACCAATTTCTACTCCCGAAAAATTATCTCTCTTTTCACTCTATGGTGTGATCATTTCTGATCTTTTAAGAAATTTCCCTTCGAAACAACTTTTTAGAGAATATGAAACAACTTTTTTTTTAAATTAATAAATTAATATTAAATATGTATTTTCCTTAAATTATAACAAACAATGAGGAACATAATTATTTACAAATTGTACAAGTGATCTGATCTTAAGCAACTGGAGCTGAGACTGGGGAAGCAGCATAGGCATTAGCATAAGCATTGTAAGCAGCAGCGGCCAAATGGGCGGCATAAGGCGAAGCATAAGGAGAAGCAGCAGCAAAAGGAGCAGCAGCTACACCAGCGGGGCCAAAATATTTGGCGGGAGCAGCGAAAGTGGCAGGGGCACCAGCTACATAACGGCTAGAGTAAGGAGCAGCAAAACCGAAAGGATTGGTGGTGTAAGAGGAAAAAGTGCCATCATAATTTTGACGAACATCTACTTGTTGACTGCCACCAGCAGCATACAAAGGAGCATTGGCATAAGCTACGCCAGCGGGAGCAGCAGCAAAGGCTGTGGGGTGAACAAGGCCAGCAGTGGCGTAGGAAAGACAGGCAGCAAACACAGCAACCTTTTAAAGGGGAAATAATTAGTTTACAATTATTTAAAAAATTATCAATAAAGTACTTACAAACTTGAACATTTTGTTAAGGATTCTTTTCGAACAGGATTTACAACTACAAATATTAAATGTTTATTAACAAATGTTAAACACTGTTATGGTATTAACTCTGGAATAGCTCACACATTATATAGTAAAAAATATTGAAACTAAACCTTTACTTACTTCAGATGTTACCAATAAAGGTACTTTCATTTCACAAAACAAAATATTACCAAATTGATATTACAAATTTAAAATTTGAACAAAAAACGTGCTTAGAAATTTAAAAAATTTCAAAAAAATTTAAATCAAAAATCAAAATAAACCAAAACAAATATTATAAAAAAATCAAACAATTTGTTAACATTTTAATTATAAGTTCATATTAATAAAATTTCCGAAATACAAAGATCTAAATAAACTTTCAATTAATATTCATTCATTGTTTAATTTCTTTAAATAAGCACTTAATTATTTTAATAACATTTTAATAACAAGTAATAAACATTATATAATTTCTACTATTTAATTTTTTATTTCTTTATTTTTTTGATTTTGTTTTTATCTATTAGAAATTATTCAAAAAAATTTTGTGGTTTTATAATTAATCATAGTGTCACAAATATACAAATAGAATCATTAATTTGGCAACCGTTAAAATTTAAAACAATATACGAACAATACTTATTTTAAATTTAAGCAAAAACCACTTAATGTTTATTTATTTTTAAGTGTTGTCTCTTGCTACTTTTAGACACAGCCAAACAAATTATGGCTAAATTATGGTATTAGCTAAAAAACAAAGAAAATAATAAAAAAAACAAAATATATATGTACTTAGATTTACTTTCATAAATATTTTCACATATTACCTCAACATTATACACGGGGTGACAAAAAAGCTGTTTGCATAAAAAAACAATTTCGCGGATATTTTATATAAAATGTTTAAGGATCTTGAACTCAACTATAACTGAACTAGAACTAAACTAGACTTAAACTAGATGAAATAGAACTAAACTAGAACTGAACTAGAACTGAACTAGAACTGAATTAGAACTGAACTAGAACTGAACTGTAACTGAACTAGAACTGAACTAGAACTGAACTAGAACTGAAATAGAACTGAACTAGAACTGAACTAGAACTGAACTAAACTAGAACTGCACTAAACTAGGACTGCACTAAGCTAGAACTGAACTAAACTAGAATTGAACTAAACTAGAACTGAACTAAACTAGAACTGAACTAAACTAGAACTGAACTAAATTAGACCTGAACTAAACTAGAACTAAACTAGAACCGAACTAAACTAGAACTGAACTAAACTAGAACTGAACTAAACTAGAACTGAACTAAACTAGACTAGAACTGAACTGAACTAAACTAGACTAGAACTGAACTAAACTAGAACTGAACTAAACTAGAACTGAACTGAACTGAACTGAACTGAACTAAACTAAACTAGAACTGAACTAAACTAGAACTGAACTAAACTAGAACTGAACTAAACTAAACTAGAACTGAACTAAACTAGAACTGAACTAAACTAAACTAGAACTGGACTAAACTAAACTAGAACTAAACTAGAACTGAACTAGAACTGAACTAGAACTGAACTAGAACTGAACTAGAACTGAACTAGAACTGAACTAGAACTGAACTAGAACTGAACTAGAACTGAACTAGAACTGAACTAGAACTGAACTAGAACTGAACTAGAACTGAACCAGAACTGAACTAGAACTGACTAGGACTGAACTAGAACTGAACTAGAACTGAACTATAACTGAGACCAGAACTGAACTAGAACTGAACTAGAACTGAACTAGAACTGAACTAGAACTGAACTAGAACGGACTAAACTGAACTAGAACTGAACCAAACTGAACTAGAAACTGAACTAGAACTGAACTAAACTGAACTAGAACTGAACTAGAACTGAACTAGAACTGAACTAGACGGAACTAGAACTGAACTAGAACTGAACTAGAACTGAACTAGAACTGAACTAGAACTGAACTAGAACTGAACTAGAACTGAACTAGAACTGAACTAGAACTAACTAGAACTGAACTAGAACTGAAACTAGAGAACTAGACTGAACTAGAACTGACTAGACTAGAACTAGAAATGACTAGAACTGAACTAGAACGAAACTGAACTAGACTGAACTAGAACTGAACTAGAACTGAACTAGAACTGAACTAGAACTGAACTAGAACTGAACTAGAACTGAACTAGAACTGAACTAGAACTGACTAAACTAGAACTAGAACTGAACTAGAACTGAACTAGAACTGAACTAGAACTGAACTGAACTGAACTAGAACTGAACTAACTGACTAACTGAACTAGAACTGAACTAGAACTGAACTAGAACTGACAGAACTGAACTAGAACTGAACCTAGAACTGAACTAGAATGACTAGAACTAACTAGAACAATTAACATAAATTGGCTCTTATTGGAAAACCCTTTATTTTGTGATTGCCAATGCAGTATTATTTGTCACTAGCTGCAATACAGACAATATTTGTTTTAAAAAACTTTTTTAGTAGTCGATACTAAATCATGTGAATTTTTATTTAAGAAATGGCAATTATTTAATTAAGCCTGTCACTTTATCATGATTTTAAATTTAACAATATACAATTACAAACAAGTTTTAATATATATTTATCTAAAATAAAAACCATGAAAAAATATTTAAAAATTCTTAAAAATTTATTAAAACATTGACTGGTTTTGTTTATTAACACAAGTAGGTATTTTAAAATTAAAGTAAGTTTTTGTGTTTGCTGTAACGATTATTTTGAAATCATCATTAAATAAATTCATAAAATTCTTGTTTTAATATTTAAAATTCCTAGCTTAAGTATCAGCTAGTTAGCTATTTAAGCAGAAAGATATAATTTTTCAATTTCATTTCCTTTCGATGTGGTTTCAAAAAAGGTATGACTGTCTCACGGTTAAACTGTGTGGCTATTTTTAAGTTTAGGCAAGTATTTTTGAACACGTTTTTAGTCTTAATTTTTTTTCCTTTGTTTAAATTTTTTTTTAAGATTTATTGTTGTTTAATATTTATTAATAGTGTCTGTAATAAAGTTTAATTTATAGCGGTCACTGTCTTTTGATCTTGTACGATGCTAAATGATTGAGAAAGATGATGATGACATGTTGTAGTTTTAACTAAAGGAGAGTTCAATAAAAATTTGTGAATTTAAAATACAAAATCATGTTGCTCATTAAAATAGTGTTATTTTTTTTTCTTAATTTTCATTTTAGATTAATTGCTTTAGAAACTATTTTTAAATACTAAACAATACAAGTAGATATTTCAAAACTATGAAGTTATACTGAATTCTCTATAATGTGTTTTTAAAACCTGAATTTAATAAAAATTTTGAATATATTATTAATCGAGAGATATTTGGGATGATGTTTGCGTTAAAAACAAATTATGTTGAATAACCAGTTGTTACCTTCTAGGCGTCTATCAAGTACCAAGTTCTCTAACAATTTACTTCTAAGATTTGTTTTTCATCTTTTAAAGAATAATCTATTTCTCTTACCTAATAATTGGCCTAATCCATGTAACATCTATGACATAAAATCTAACGGTATTTTAACTATGAAACTTAACCCACAAAAGAATAATTCTATCCTCAGTTATAAAAATCAATCAAAATCATATTAAAAATCTCACATCTGTTGTTAATAACAAACACCCAATAAATCTCTATTAAGTGTCACTATTAAGTAGACAGCTTGTCTACTTTAAAAAAAACAATCTACCACAAAATTATTAACAATTTTTAAGAACTATTCTTAATGTCTTGTAGACAGCTATAAATTAAATTTTGAAGCTGTAAACACAAGCAAAAAAAAAAAAAAAACATCTTGATTAGTTTTGCCCATAAAAAAAGTATTTAATAAACCAAATTAAATTAATAAACATATTCAGATTCTTAACAAAACAAAAATTTACATATAAATGGTTTAATACATATATAAAGAATTTTTAATTGGAAATATTTTTTCATAAAGTTAACATCTGATAAACATTTATTTACATATGAATCTAGATTATCTGTTAGTCATGCTAAAACAATAACAGTATTCTTCCTATTTGAGCCAAAAAAAAAAAGATAAAGAACACAATTTTGTTTTGTTTTATTAAAATTGTAGCAGTCTCATCATAAGTTTATTTTTAGATTAAAGAATATCATTAAGTGCCCTTCACTATTGAAATTCTGTTTTATAAACATACGCCTACCAATCTCTTTTCGGTTTTGATACCCTACACTAAGTATTTTAGGTGAGAACTATAAACTATTATGAGTTTGTTCTAATGTTAGCAAATAACGATCACTAAATTATTCATTATACATTACACCGTCAATTGATTCACTAGTTAATGACCTTTCAACTGTAATTACTTACCTAATAACACACTTTTCAATGACTACTACATATCGTCTGTATTACATATAAGTGGTATAATAAGTTTTAACTAATAATGTATTATATAAGTAAATACTTTCTAATTCATTAGTTATCTTGCTTGTGAAACTATAGAGACCTCAGTTATACTTAAGCCATTTATTGTTGAATAAAATTGTGGTTATTTAAGTCATATTTTGAAGAAGTCTATGTATTGGGGCTAGGGTCAAATGAGGCCCTAGCATTATAAAATTCATCAGGATCATCAAGGCAAGTATAGAACTTGGTTTTGCACATTTTTGTCGAGATACGAGTATATTAAACATAACTATGAGCTTAAACAGCCCTATTCGAGAGGGTTCAGTTGTATGGGGGCTAGGTGAAATAATGGACCGATGTTAACCATTTTCAAAAGGCTTCGTCTTTGATACAATAAGAGATCAGTGTCAAATTTCATTTTTAAAAATTACGACCTGTAGATTGATTACAAGATTTACATGGACGGACGGTCAGACAGACGGACATAGCTAAGTCGACTCAGAAACTGATTTTAAATCAATTGGTATACTTTAAGATGGGTATAGGAACAATATTATTGTTCGTAGGTTCTGTTTTCATTATCAAAGCATGCAAAAAATTGTTTGATAAAATTTTCAGAGGTTGTCTCGTGTTTTTGCTCATATCTCCGTTATTTATGGACGGATTTCGCTGATTTTAAATAAGAAACTTCTCGAAGACAGGCAGACAGACAGACAGACAAACAGAAAGACAGATAGATAGGCAGACGGACAGACAGACAAACGGACATGTCTTAATCGACTCCGCTATTATAGAAGATTTGAAAAAGATATCTGCTGTCTTCAGAAATTTAATTTCAACAGACAGACAGACAGACGGACATGACTTAATCGACTCCAAAGAATCCAGAATATATATACTTTATAGGCTCCGAAAATTATATGGTACACCAGATCTGAAGAAATACATACACCTAGGCCAATAACGGGCCTGTTGGACGTTCGTTTACCAAATTTTCCAGATTGCGAATAAATACTTTTTAAATCGACATTTATGTAATTTGGAGATACATAGGTACCAAAAATACAAATAATAAATGGTGGAAACATTTTCCAATTCCGATCATATTTGACCTATGGTCAAATATATGATCCTATATGATCTTCTTCATAAAGCGTTTCTTAGCTTGAACCAAGAAACTTTTTAACGCCAAACTTAATAATCGACACTCTAAATCATTCATATATTATAAAATCACTCTATCAAATTCTTTATATTTTGGTCCATAATTGAACCAATACCCCAAAAGGCTCACAATCTAATATTCAACCTAAAGCTTATTAAAATTAATTCAGCTCAAATCTAATTTAATTGTTAATCGTGCTAATAAATTTCGAAAGTCTTGATAGTTAGGTCTTATTTGATGTGTATAGATATAGAAAGGAACAAAGGGTTTACAGATCTAAGATATTATAATAAATATAACTTATTACAGGTAATTTGTTACAGGTACGAGTATTATTCTATTTTATTTATTTTAGAAATTAAGAAAAAATAATTAGGAAAAGCAAGAATCAAACTACCGATCTAATTACACTTTGTAAAGCATAACCAAACCGGTATAAAATTCTTGTTTCATACTAATACCGTAGTCAAAAGCAGTTAAGAATTAATACATTTAAATAACAAATGAGAGTCGAAGAATAACATATACAGTTTTTATCATATCGGATTGAATTCCCTAACAAGTCATGATTAACAAGTCAATAGCCGAATCTTAGCAATGTCGAATCTTATATAAATCAAATCATAACACGTAAAATTAAAGTAAAGATGTACCCCTATATGGACTCAGTGAAGAACCCTAAAGCTTTGAATAATCAACATGTAATAGTGTTACTTATATTTATATATACTTCAACATCAAATCATATCGTGTAATATTAAAGTTAATTCCGGAAAGTGATTCTATATATAGACTTAGACTGAATCGATACTTTTGTTATTTGCTACAACCATTTTACTTATTTTTTAGGTTTATGTCATTATGTCACCAATATTAAATGAATATCAGGGGAATTTTCGAAATAGGGCCTTTAGGGCTTGGTTCAACTATAGTTTTTAAAACAAATTAATTTTTGACGGACTTTTTTTGATTTTTAGTGAAAATCGGGTTTTAAGTGAAAAATCAGATTTTTAGTGATAAGTCTAAAGTTTTTATCTTGTTGGATTATGTTTCCCACCAAGTCATGATTAACAAGTCAATAGCCGTTTATACCATCAAATCATATTCTGCAAAAATTAAAGATGGTGCCCTATATGGACTTATTAAAGAACCCCTAAGCTTCAAATATTCCATAATATATTCGGCAATGCTGAATCTTATATATCCACCCTTGAAATCATATTCCATAATATTAAAATTAATTTCGGAATATGACCCTTTATGTGGACTTAAATCTTTATGAATCGATATTTTTGTTCTTTACTACAAAAATTGACTTATTTGTTAGGTTTTATTATTAATTTTATTCAATATTTGGTGAATATCAGGGGAATTTTCGGAGTAGGGTCATTTATACGGGCTTGGGTAAATTATAGAACGAGCTTTTCCAATTTAAAATATATATTTCTGACGGACCTTTTTTAATAATACATTTTTTCCAACATTTTATTAACAATAAACTGATTTTCTTTAAGTAATGATGGTTAGAGTCACTTTTTGAAGGGGCCTTATATTGGCTTATGGTTAATTATGAACCGATCCCCATAAAATTTGATACAGAGACTTTTTATGTCGAATTTCATAGCTATACTGCTATTTTAAAAGCCTGTTATGTCCGTTAATAGTGTATTCTGGGGGGCCCTAGTATGGCTGCTAGATTTCAATACCAAACAAAACCGATGTCAGTCATCTATCTTCTTACATACCGACCCTATCATGTTTTCGTCATACAGACGGACAGACAGAAAGACGGACGGACATGATTATCTCATTTTAGAATATAGTAAGGACCATGCATGTATATGTATGTACATTAATATTTCTATGTATTACAAACGGAATAACAAAATCAATATTTCATAGAGGATATATTAAAAATATAAAACAATTCTGTTGTGAACAAGTTTTCAAAGGATTCTGATTATCGAAGAGCTTCACGTTAACAGAAACTATATCTTTTAATATCATTCATTAAATATTGAGGATTTTTAACTTGAAATAAACTAGTTTTAAAGTAGATCACATAAATATCGTATTTGCTTCGTCACGCCAATTTAATTACTTTATTAACTAAACGGCAACCTTGAAATAAATCCGTTTGACTCAGTTCCGGGGAATCCCTTTGTTAAAAGCCGAAAAAGTTTATAACCAACTTTAAATCTAATATCAATAGATAACTGCAAAAAATTAAATACTTAATGCCAAACACATGCAAAACTATGACATACTTCTTGATGTCTTTCAATATAAAACAATACCTCAAAAACGCTCTTAATGTCGAAACAAGTAAGAATGTATAGTCGGGCATGGCCGACCATATGATACTCTACACCATTGAGTATGTGAAAAATGTAAATTATTTTTCTTATAATAAAGTATTTTTCCTTAATTCCGAAATACTTTTAATAACTTGTTACCCAAATAAAAGTCATTTTCTGAAAAGGGGTTTTATGGGGAGCAAAGGTAAATATGGTCCTATCTGTACAAATTTTGGTAGAGCGCTTTACGTTGATATTAAAGTTATTTATGCAGAATTTCAATGTGATAGTAGTGTTTGAAGTTGAATTTCAATCTTCAAGTCATTTTCTGAAGGGGACTTTGTATGGAAGGCTAGGTTCTAATGAGGACCTATCATTACGAAAATCGGCAGTATAATTTAGACTTATAGAGATTGTACAATATTTAACAGTATTATAAGGTAAAAACCCTATTCGGGGATACGGTTGTATGGGGGCTGGGCGAAATAATGGACCGATTTCAATCATATTCAATATGCTTTGTCTTTGGGTCAAAAGAAGAGTATATGCCAAATTTCATCAAATTATCTTGAAAATTGCGGCCTATAGCGTGTCCACAAGGTTTACATGGACACACAGACGGACAGACAGACTGATAGAAAGACAGACGCACAGACGGACATAGCTTAATCGACTCAGAAAGTGATTCTGAGCCAATTGGTATACTTTAAGGTGGGTGTAGAGCCAATATTTTTGTGTGTTACAAACATCAGCACAAATCCCCTGTAGCGTGTGCACAAGGTTTACATGGACCCACAGACGGACAGACAGACGGACATAGCTAATTCGACTCAGAAAGTGATTCTGAGCCAATTGGTATACTTTAAGGTGGATTTAGAGCCAATATTTTTGTATGTTACAAACATCAGCACAAATCCCCACTATAGTGGTGTAGGGTATAAAAAAGATACAATATACAATGTCACCGCACTCTTTTTGGAAACCTAAAAAGAAATACACGTGAGCGTATCAATGACCACACTCTAAGCTCTAAACAAGAAACCAAGCAAAATTTTAAAGATTTTTTTGTTAAGTATTGCCCACAATAATCTAAATCAAAACAATTCACTACAAAAGATCAATGATTTTTTAAATACCTTGATTATAACAAAACCCCAACAAAATATAAATAACTTCTATAACGACAATAATAATTATAATAAAAAACCATCAAATACATTTAAATTTAAGATAAATAAACAATAATTTTAACTAAAAACCATAAATATGAACAAATTATTTGCATAAATTTCTCATTGAATTACAAAGAAACATTCGATAAAATAAGGGACAGACCGATTAATTGGTAATGCTTGAATACCATGAATGAATGTAGTTTAAACAGATTTATAAAAGCTTTTGTTTTTTTCTTAAAGATTTTAATAAATTTTATTTTTTATTATAATATTTTAAAACAAAATTTATTTATTTATTACTAGATTTATATTTAGGCATGGCAAGTTTTTTTTCTAATTTTTTTTATGATTTATAATCTATTATAATATTCTTAAACTAAAATCTTTGTAGAGTTTTATAAACTAAAAACAAAACAAAATTTATTATAAAATACACACGAAAAAAAAGAAACTATAGATTTGTTAAATTAGTTAAATTGATTTACAATGACTTAAATATTTAAATTCTTTAGTTTAACGTCATTGGAATTAGATTGTTAAAACTACAATTTAAATTTAAATAAAGTGGCTTCTTCTAGTTCGAAAACATTTTTTTTAAAACCTCACATATTGTTTTTAATTCGGTTTTTATATTATTTTTGTGTGATTTTTGATTTTGTTTTTTTTTTTTTCAAATTGATTTAATTAACGAAAAAATCTAAATGTGGTATCACTAGTTTATGCTATTTGATACCAATTGTTGTCTTTTGTCAATGCGACAAATCGAAATGACATTGATGACCATTCACCACAAAAAAAAAAATAAAATCAAAAACCTACAAAATAATAAAATATTTATACAAAAATCACTGAAGTTTGAAAGTGTTAACGTAAAAAACCAGAACACACCACTAATATATACTATTGACTAAAACAGGGTTCGGATTAAATGCTAAAGTTGTATAATTTTTACACACTGTTAGAAAAAAGTGTTAAAGTTGTTTTTGAATTCAGTCCTATTCTAGAAATACTTTTCCAATATTTTCAAATTTTTAGCATCTGATATTTGTCAGTGAAGTTTATTTATTCATTTCTAATCTCCAAAGACTTGTCTATAGATTAGTTATGTCTATGAATTTGACTTGATAGGGCCTAAAGACCGTGTTTTTCTAATCTAGTATATAGACTAATCCATGGACTGGCCCATTAAGTGCTATATGTACTAGCCTTGACTAGTTTATAAAATCTATAGAAATGGACTACTATATATGCAATCTATGGACTAAGTAGTCTATGGAATAATAAATTGCAACAAGATCAATTGACTGATCTATGAAACAATATTTTAACCAGTTTATTGACTATTCTATAGATTAATATATCGACAAATCTGTACACGGACTACTAAATATAGACTAAGCTATCGTCTAGTCTATGGACCAGTCAATTGACTATTCTTTAAGGTATTATACATAATAGTAATAGACTTGTTTATAAACTAGTCTACTGACTAATATAATACATAGACTAGTCCATTGAATTGTCCAAGTACTAGACTATGGACTGGACTTGTTTACATAGTCTATAGGCAGGCCTATTGACTACTTTATGGATTTAATATATATAGTCTACGAAATAATCTAGTGTAGGGTATATTGCCTATAGACTGATCTATTGACTAGTCTATAGAATTTTCTATTAACTACTCCATAGACTGATCTATTGACTTTTCTATAGACTGATCTATTGATTAGTCTTTAGCCTGATCTATTGATCTATTAACTAGTCTATAGACTGATCTATTGACTAGTCTAAAGACTGATCTGTTAAATAGTCTATAGACTGCTCTATTGCTAGTCTATAGACTGATCTATTGACTACTATAAACTGATCAATTGACTAGTCTATAGACTGACCTATTAATTATTCTTTAGGCTGATCAATTGGTCTATAGGCTGATCGATGGACTAGTCTAAAGACTGATCTATGGACTAGTCTATAGACTGATATATTAACTAGTCTATAGACTGATATATTAATTAGTCTATAGACTGATCTATTGACTAGTCTATAGATTGATCTATTAACCAAATAGACTGATATATTGACTAGTCTATAGACAGATCTGACTAGTCTATATACTGATCAATTGACTAATCTAAAAAACTGATTTATTAACTTGTCTATAGACGGATCTATTAACTAATTCATAGTCTAATATTTTCAATAGTCTATAGACAGATCAATTGACTAGTCTATAGACTGATCTATTACCTAGTCTATAGACTGATATATTCGCTAGACTATAGACTGATCGATTGACTAGTATATAGACTGATATATTAACTAGTTTATAGACTGATCTATTGACTAGTTTATAGACTGATCTATTGAATAGTCTATAGACTGATCTATAGACCGATCTATAGACTTGTCTATAGACCAATCTATTGAACAGCCTATGGACTAAAAAAAGGTCGCGAAAAGGATCAACATTAAATAAATATGAAAAAAAATTTTATATTCCAAACTTGGGGGATTTAAATCTGATGAAATTAAAAAATTCGACTTGAAATGTGTAGATGTTATACATACTTCTTGCTTTTACTTTCGACCCTTCAAGTGCAATAAAAATGTAATATAACAAAATCGGAAATCTTGATCAGAAGTTTTGATCGTTTCAAAATTCGAAAACCTCATTTAACAACTCATGTAGTGTTTGGACTATGTTATTGTTGGAATTGACTTTAATTACGGAATGAAGTCGTCTTCAATTATCTAATGTTCATGGAACATAGAAAATTAAGGAACGATACACAATATTTCAGGTCTATATGAGTCACTTCCGATCTGGTATTTTTTAGAACTATTAAAGGGTAATTTTGATTATCACTTCAAAATTTCACAAAACTTTAACACTTCCTTTCATTTTTTTAGCACTTCTTTAAATTTGTTTTCTCCATATAATCCGAACCCTGCCTTTCTAGGCTATTTCTAAATTATCAACGTTTCTATGGCTTAAAAATTTAAATTAAGCTTAAACATATGCAACTACTATATATTATTAATTTTTTCCGTTTGTCTTTGAATTTCATTAAATTCAAAATTCAAACTAATTAAATCAAACACAAAAAAAATTGCACTAAATTAATTAGAATAGAAGAGAAAGGAACGCTTAGAGTTAAAAAGCAAACTATACCTATTTAACGCCTCTTTCTCTGAGGATAAGGAGTACCGTACGAAGTAACACCATTAGGTATAGCAGTATAAGGAGCACCGGCCTGTAAAGGCAAAGGAGCAATATTAAGGGGAGTAATACCAATGGGTAAGGGTAATTTCACATTGAGCGAGGTAAGAGGAGGTAAATTAGAAGAACTAGAGCCGGCAGGTGCTGCCGAAGCAGTGGCGGCATTTGATATAGCTGTTTGTGTGGCTGAAGTTTTGCTGGATCTTGAAGTGGAAGTTAAGGCAGCATTGGCTGCATTACCACCAATAGCATAACCTTGATTGGTCAAGGCCAAATTGAAGGCAGCATTATCCAAAGCTGGTGAGGTAAATTGTTTTGTTATAGCAGCTGCTGTACGATAGTTGCCTTGATATTGATTTTGATATGCTTGAGCTGCACCCTGTACGGAACGTTGTTCTATTGGAGAAGGTGCTAAGGTGGGTATGGGTATCGAGGAGAGCTGTTTGGCTGCAGGGTCATGGAATTGCTGTGATTTTGGAGGTGCTGGATAATGATAATAAGCCACTTGATTACTGGGTGTTATACTATATTCCGATATTAAATTTGTTTGTCCTGCTTGCACGTTGGCCACTATTAGGCTGGTTAAAGTTGTTATCACACACTAAAAAAATTATTTGTTATTATAGCACTAAAAATATGATTTAATTATTCTTAATTTTTAACTCACTAATTTCCACATGTTTTGTTTTTGTTAATATTTGTTTGGATTAATAAAATTTTAAAATTTATTTATATAGAACAGTTATATTTTATTTGCTTTTTTTATTGCTGTTAATTGCCTTTAAATTAGTTTATATGATTTTTTTCTTTCTATTGTTATTTAAATCACTTTAGTTTTATTTAACGTTTAAAAATTCTTTTGTTTTATTTAACTAGAGTATTTCTTTAATAGTTTCAAGTATTTTCTGTTTCGTTTAAATTTTAAGATTTTTTTTTTTTTTTTTTTTGAGTTTAACGTTTTTTTATAGGTTGTCGTTCGTTTAAGCTTAGTTAACTGATTAAACCGGCTTCCCTAACTAAAGATGCTTTTTATAGAAATTGATTGCGTCCATTGACGTTTCGGACAGTCACAAACCGAAAAAAAAACATCAACAACAAAATCAGCAGCTACACAAAGTAAAACAACAACTGCTACAACATCAATAAACAGCTGAAATGAAATACAACAAATTGTTTGTTTTTTCAATAACCCACCATCTCAAGATGGGTATTGTATTGAAATCGTCTGGTCATTGGTAACAGATCGAAGTTTTTGTTGATAATGTTTATGAAATTAGGAAAAAGAAATAATCTGAAAAAAATTTCCATGATGACTGAAATCATAAATCTTTTTAAATTTGTTTACAGTCTAGTCTAGTCTATAGTCTATAGTCTAGTCTATAGTCTAGTCTATAGTCTAGTATATAGTCTAGTCTATAGTCTAGTCTATAGTCTAGTATATAGTCTAGTCTATAGTCTAGTCTATAGTCTAGTATATAGTCTAGTCTATAGTCTAGTCTATAGTCTAGTATATAGTCTAGTCTATAGTCTAGTCTATAGTCTAGTATATAGTCTAGTCTATAGTCTAGTCTATAGTCTAGTCTATAGTCTAGTCTATAGTCTAGTCTATAGTCTAGTCTATAGTCTAGTCTATAGTCTAGTCTATAGTCTAGTCTATAGTCTAGTCTATAGTCTAGTCTATAGTCTAGTCTATAGTCTAGTCTATAGTCTAGTCTATAGTCTAGTCTATAGTCTATAGTCTAGTCTATAGTCTAGTCTATAGTCTAGTCTATAGTAGTCTATAGTCTAGTCTATAGTCTAGTCTATAGTCTAGTCTATAGTCTAGTCTAGTCTAGTCTATAGTCTAGTCTATAGTCTAGTCTATAGTCTAGTCTATAGTCTAGTCTATAGTCTAGTCTATAGTCTAGTCTATAGTCTAGTCTATAGTCTAGTCTATAGTCTAGTCTATAGTCTAGTCTATAGTCTAGTCTATAGTCTAGTCTATAGTCTAGTCTATAGTCTAGTCTATAGTCTAGTCTATAGTCTAGTCTATAGTCTAGTCTATAGTCTAGTCTATAGTCTAGTCTATAGTCTAGTCTATAGTCTAGTCTATAGTCTAGTCTATAGTCTAGTCTATAGTCTAGTCTATAGTCTAGTCTATAGTCTAGTCTATAGTCTAGTCTATAGTCTAGTCTATAGTCTAGTCTATAGTCTAGTCTATAGTCTAGTCTATAGTCTAGTCTATAGTCTAGTCTATAGTCTAGTCTATAGTCTAGTCTATAGTCTAGTCTATAGTCTAGTCTATAGTCTAGTCTATAGTCTAGTCTATAGTCTAGTCTATAGTCTAGTCTATAGTCTAGTCTATAGTCTAGTCTATAGTCTAGTCTATAGTCTAGTCTATAGTCTAGTCTATAGTCTAGTCTATAGTCTAGTCTATAGTCTAGTCTATAGTCTAGTCTATAGTCTAGTCTATAGTCTAGTCTATAGTCTAGTCTATAGTCTAGTCTATAGTCTAGTCTATAGTCTAGTCTATAGTCTAGTCTATAGTCTAGTCTATAGTCTAGTCTATAGTCTAGTCTATAGTCTAGTCTATAGTCTAGTCTATAGTCCTAGTCTATAGTCTAGTCTATAGTCTAGTCCTATAGTCTAGTCTATAGTCTAGTCTATAGTCTAGTCTATAGTCCTAGTCTATAGTCTAGTCTATAGTCTAGTCTATAGTCTAGTCTATAGTCTAGTCTATAGTCCTAGTCTATAGTCTAGTCTATAGTCTAGTCTATAGTCTAGTCCTATAGTCTAGTCTATAGTCTAGTCTATAGTCTAGTCTATAGTCTAGTCTATAGTCTAGTCTATAGTCCTAGTCTATAGTCTAGTCTATAGTCTAGTCCTAGTCTATAGTCTATCTAGTCTAGTCTATAGTCTAGTCTATAGTCTAGTCTATGTCTAGTCTATAGTCTAGTCTACAGTCTAGTCTACAGTCTAGTCTACAGTCTAGTTTAAGTCTTGTTTATAGTTCAGTTCCTATAAATGCCAAATTCTAAACTACTTTTATGCAGGGTATCTAATATTCGTTCTAAGTCGCTTTTTTGGTCATTCAAAAGTATTTTATTGTCTTGAGTTGTAGCTTGGCCTCTTCGTTTTGGTTTTTAACACCAAACATTTGTTTTTGCTTATAATTTTTTTTTTAAGAAATAATTTTTTAATTTTCGATTTGCGTTTTCAGAGGCTTCTTTTGCTTGCATATTTGTTTTTTATTTCAAGTTTTTTTTTTTCATTATAATTTTAGCCACTTATTAGGGTTTTTATACACGTCTTCAATTCGTTTCTTTTTTGCTTCTCTGTAATATTCCAAACATTTTAATTTAAAACTTGTCTAATTAAATTATTGGCATCAGTTGAATATTGTATGCAATTGCTAACGCCTAAGGCTGTTGGGCCGTATGTTTATGGTTTGAAATTATTTTTTCAATAATTAATAAATCAAGGAAATTTAAAATTAAAATCATATTAATTTGCTCATCTGTATAATTTATACGTAATTAGACAGAAATCAAGATGACTAAGTTAATTTCATGTTCATTCTTAAGACACTACCTCTGGCGTTAGTTGTATTGAAATGACAGCAGCTGTCGTAATTGTCAGAATTTTGTTAAAATATTTTAAAAGTGGACTTGAATATAGAAAGTGAAAGGAGTTTTATCTTACTAGTTAAAATATTTTTTTTAGTTTTGCCAACAGTTTATAGATCATAAAAACATTATATATTGACAGTTGTCAAAAAGACTAGGCAACAGTACCGACAATAGTGCAGACTGTAGATTGCACTCCGATTCAGACTAAAACTTACTATTGTTCAGATTATACAATATACTATGGTATAGACTACAGACCAAGGTTCAGACTCTATGTCATTCTACAGTTCAGACTTTAGACTCGGCTATATTCCAGAATACATTCTAGACTACTCTACACTTCTGACAATAGATTAGTTATCTTTCATATTAAATAGTAGACTATATCCAAGATACTGACCAGATTAAAAGTTATACTAAAGTCCAGAACATTAAAAATGTATGTTAGTCCAGACCATAGTCATACTACTATAGACTAAACTAATTTCCAGACTAGATTTATATCTAGACAATAGGCTAGACTTAAGTTCAGACTATATACTAGACTACAAAACAGACTTGATTATAGTTTAAAATAGACTGTATTCAAAACTGTAGGCCAGATTAAAACCTAGACTAAAGTTCAAACTCTAGACAAGACTACAGCACTAACTATTGGCAAATCTACAGTTCAGACAATAGGCAAGACTATAGGTCAGACTATATTGGACTACAAATTAGAATACTGACTTCACTATAGTCTAGAATTTTTACATAACTTTAGTTTAGACTGTGGATTAGTCTATAGACTATACTATGCATAGTTCCGATTATATACTATACTATAGATAAGCTTATAAAAAAAACTAGGGACTAGACTGCAGTTCAGACTTTAGACTACTGTCCAGTTTATAGATTTGACTATAGTCCAGTATATAAACAATCGTTTATATATAAACTAGACAGTTGTCGAGAGTAAAGATTAGACTAAAGTCCAGTCTATAGACATAACTTTAGTTCAGACTGTGGATTAGGCTATAGGCTAGACTATGCATAGTTCCGACTATATACTTTACTATAGATAAGCTTATAGACCAATCTAGGGACTAGACAGCAGTTCAGACTTTAGACTTGACTACTGTCCAGTTTATAGATTTGACTATAGTCCAGTATATAAACAATCGTTTATATGTAAACTAGACAGTTGTCGAGGCTAGACTAAAGTCCAGTCTATAGACTGGATTATTGACTCAATTGTAGACTACGCTATAATCCAGACTAGAGTGCAGACCATAGTCTGGTTTATAGTTTAAACTATAAATTTGACTAAATACTAGACTATAGTCAGGAATAAAGTCCAAAATATGGACTAAGCTGTAGTCCAGACTATAGTAAAGATGGTAATCTACAATATAAACTTGACTATAGTCAAGATTAAAGCCTAGACTAAAGTCCAGATTATAAAGAACACTATAATTTAAACCATGTATATACTATACCATAGATCAGACCATGAACAAGAATATAGTCCCGACTATTGACTTGTCTGTAGTTCAGACTATAGGCTAGGCTATTATTCAGACTATAGATTTGACTGGGAAAAAGTCTATATAATATGGGAAAAAGTCTATATAATAGGTTTGACTATAGATTAGAGCAATGACCAGACTATAGGTAAGATTGTGGTTCAAAATATTTACTAAACTCGACTTTATAGACTAGGCTGTAATCTAGTCCAGAATGTAGATTAGTGTATAAAAAATAGTACATATTAGAATAATTTCAAATCAAAGCTCAGAGTTTGATAAATTTCAAATACACTAGTTTTAAACGGACTAGTATTTCAGCCCTATTTCAACATATATCGAGTCCAATTATGTAGATTTTTTTATTGTTATTGCATTATACATATTTTGAACCAAACAAGTGAATTAGTTCGAATTTCACATATTATTTTGAATATGATTTTTATAAAAACTGGTAACATATGCTAGGCAATTAAAAATGTATGTTTGTTTATTAAAATAGGAAGCGTTTTATCTTTTTAATAAAATATTTCAACTTCAAGTTGAAAAATATTAAAAGAATTCTCCGACAAACAAATATTTAGACTATTTTACATTTAAAAACAATTAAATGACAATTTAAGTAATTTGTTAAATATTTTATGGAACTTTTCTAAACATACTGCTATGCTATCAGTTTCATCTAATCTGATTAGGCTGAAGAAATAGTAACAATTTAAACAAAAGTTTGTTTAAATATTTTTATACTTAAAATAAAATTTAATGAATTAATAATTTAGTTAAAATTAAAGTAAGCTTCTGTTTGGGTTTAGTATTTCTATGGAGTTTATGTTAAAAAAAAAAATAAAAATAGATTTGCATAATACCCTCCTCTAAACAACAAAGCTTTATATACCAAAAGTTTTTCAAGTAGAAAGACCACAATTAATGAGAGAAT